TTCTTGAGCTATTTAATTTTTCATGTGTTCTTATAATTTTCTTTTTTTCTCGACGTAAATTATATAGAAACGGTCCAAATGTTTTGTATGTCCAACCGCTTTCGGCTATACTTTTAGCCATTGTGAAGGATAAATTTTATCTTTACTTTGAACTGAATGTATGGATTGTATTATGTTGTAGGAATGTTTTAGTTTTCAAACACGGTCAACAGCTTGTAGCCGTGTCCATAGTTGATATTATTAATTTATTATTTTCTTGTGTGTGTATGTGCTAATGACATAAGAATTTAATTCTGTCTCAATACTAAGTCTAATCAGTTCGATAATTGGCGACTTATCTCATAAAATACATTCAGTCTGTTGTTAACTGGGATAAAGAATGGCTTGTTAATTTTTTAATTTTCATCTTTTTGCTGATGACCATGTATTCTGTCTTCTTGTAGTTTATAATTAGTCCTTTCTTTTCGCATTCCTTCGCTACCTTCTGTAGGTTTTGCATTTTCCTTTCCGTGTTTGCTCTCAGCACTGTGTCATCTGCATATCTTACGTTGTTAAGATTGTGATAGTCAATGACGAATCTCGGTAGAACTTCTAATTCTCTCAGAATCGCCTCGCCGTATAGGGATATAAATCCACGTCCTTGTCTTGCACCCCTTTCTATCAGCTGAACTCATTTATACTACATTTAAAATCTATATCCTTGGTTCATATATATATATATATATATATATATATATATATATCAAACATTTATTAGAAATTTAATTTAAATACAAGAGTCATAAAATGACTTCACATGCCAGAACATTTCAGCTTATACTTTTTTCCTGTTAACCAATGGTTGCCTTTGCAAAAAGAAAGCTATCCATTTCAGTTTCATTAAAATTATTTGTGCATATACGTTTGCATGAGCGCAGGTATATTTGAATTCACATACCTAAAATATTTCTATAAAATGTCCGCAAAGTTCAATAAAATCGTATAATTGTGTTTTTAGGGTTTAAAAATGTTTTTGTCTTTTATTTTTCTTATTTCCAACATTATGGTTTTATTGCTTAATTCAGAGTAGGGATTGTCCAGACTGAGTGTGAGGAGAATACATTATTCTAATACAAATATTATTATAAACTCACTTAAAATTGTGTGTGCATGTATGTGTGTGCATGTGCTTGTATATACATTAAACTGTGCAAAATCAGGTGAGGTACTTACACACGACACAGACAGACGCATATACATTACATTAGCAGTAGATTGGTTCGCCTATCGTCCTGTTCGCACTCATCCCTAGTCTTTTGAACAAAAGTAGAGGTTTATCCTTTGTTTCTTGTTTAGGATTGGATTTCCAGTTCCTTCTAAAGTCTTCTCATTCACTCTCAGAATCTATCTATCTATCTATCTATCTATCTATCTATCTATCAAATTCTGTTTATCTATCATAGAATAAGTTTCATTTCAACCCCCATCGATGTTGTCCTTGAGACTGAGAGCAGAATTACTGAAAAACCTTTTCTGTTGAACATGCGAGAAAATGCTTTTATGTGCCGTCTCCTTTTAGCATGTGAATGATCATGGCTCTCTACAACTTCCTATACTTTGTAGCTCTAAGTTTTTCTCTTTACTCTCCCTGCCATTCTCTACTCTACTATCAATTCATACAAGCTCCATTAGATATGTTACTCGCTGTTTCTCTATGTTCGCCTTGCCTTCAATATGTCCGGTGAGTGTCAAATACTCTATCTTTATCATCTAACCCAGAAATTCTATATACAAGTTTTATTTTTTTTGATTTTTCATTTTCCTTAAAACTTCTTTGTTGCTCATTTCCCACCCGATATATTTTTTTTTTTTATCTCCATCACTTCTTTTTTCCTGCTTTTGTTCCTTCTATCTTATGTTATTTACTTTTTAAATCATTTTCCTTTCTTTTTTTTCTACGTCTTTCATTCTTTCTTTCTTTCTTTGCTTCTTAAAATCAAATCTTTCTTTTCCGGTTTTAAGTCAAGATTTTTCATCCATTTTTCTTTCTTTCTTTCATTGTTTGTTTGTTTGTTTGTTTCTTTCTTTCTTTCTTTGCTTCTTAGAATCAAATCTTTTCGTTTTTAAGTCTCAAGATTTTTTCATTCATTTTTCTTTTTTCTTTCATTCTTTCTTTCTTTCTTTGCTTCTTAAAATGAAATCTTTCTTTTCCTTTTTTAAGTCAAGATTTTTCATCCATTTTTCTTTCTTTCTTTCTTTCTTTCTTTGCTTCTTAGAATCAAATCTTTTTGTTTTTAAGTCAAGATTTTTTCATTCATTTTTCTTTCTTTCTTTCTTTGCTTCTTAAAATCAAATCTTTCTTTTCCTATTTTAAGTCAAGATTTTTCATCCATTTTTCTTTCTTTCTTTCTTTGCTTCTTAGAATCAAATCTTTTCGTTTTTAAGTCAAGTTTTTGCATTCATTTTTCTTTCTTTCTTTCTTTGCTTCGTAAAATCAAATCTTTCTTTTCCTTTTTTAAGTCAAGCTTTTTCATTTATTTTTCTTTTTTATTCTCTTGTTTTTTTCAAAACGGTTTAATTTCTTTCTTTTTAAACACAACTATTTCTTTGTTTTTCTTTCTTTTTCAGTTTATTTTCGTTCTTATGGTTTTTTTTGTTTTTAAACTCAAACGTTTCTTTCTTTCTTAATCCATTTATTTCTTCTTCTTTTTATTTCTTAACTTTTTATAAACCAAAACTTCTCCCTCCCTCCCTCTTTACCACTTAATCGCCCTCCCCTTCCCCTATTTTCCTTTAACAATCTTTTATTTCTTCTTGGTTTCCTTTACCTCTATTCATTTCCGTGCATTATCCTTCATCCTTACTCTTTCAAAACTTTCTCCATGTTTTGGCGTCGACCAATCTAATGATTCATTCATTATCTTATCCAATCTCACTTATACTTCACTGTCCCCCTGACTCCATCGATTCATGTTATGCATTCAAAGTAGAGGTCACTTATCGCAGAACTAAACTCCACTATCCTACCGGCCACTACAATCAGATTTCGATGATCTTACCTTGTTTCAATCTATTTGTTTGCCTTCAATGCCCTGGAGGCGGACGTCGATAGGAGCGGAGACGCCAATGGAACAACCTATTACAATTCTTAGACTCGTCGTCTTGTATAAAATCCAACTCACAGGAATAATAACCCTGGAGATTTGGGATCTCTTTCTTATTTCCTACGGTAATTAACATTGTTTGGAAGTATATTGCATATAGACTTTTCGAAAAAAAAAAAAAAAAAAAGAAAAGATTTTTAGTTTTTTGGCCTTTTCGAAAGTCTTTGGTACAGTTAAAAATTTTAACCGAAGTATCTTCAGTAATTCATAGTAAGAAGAAGGAATTTTGTGGTTTTCTGTATATTTTTGTTGTTGTTTTTGCTGTTGTTGTTGTTAGAGGTGAAGGAGAAGATGACTTGGCTGGAGATTGTTCGTATCAATGAAAACACTAATGACAAATCAGTAATAAAAATTTCAACTTCATATTTTCTTCTAAAAAGATAAGCAGTTTTCATTATTGCTTCAAATAAAGTTATGTTTATACGAAGATTATCACACACTGTTCTTTACACTTCAACTTCAAATAGACGAGGTGCTCGGAATAAAAGAGGTGGCTGAAATAAAGGGGGTGGCTCTAATAAAAGTGGTGGATGGATTTTTTTTAATAATTAATAAATTTTATAATTTTCAGTAATTTAATGCTTTGTCGTAGAATGCTCACTGTCTAAATTAAGGAAGGAGAAGATGTGTATTTTTTAAAATCATTTCATCCAAAGCAAGGCAACAAAGCCACTAAGACGCGGGGGCGGTACTGAGTGTGAAAGATTATGAGAAAAAAGAAAAACATTATTAAGGAGAGAGAACAATAAAAGAACAGGGATTAAGATGACAAAAGATAACGATTGACATTGTATATAAATTTTTGAAGATCAAAGTTGACTGGAAAGCAAGAAGCTGAAAGAGAGTTCCACAAACGAGAAGTGCGAGAAAAGAAACTGTTAGAATAGAACATACGGTTACATCTAGCCATTATGTTAGGCTATGTCAGTTTATACCCCGGGTATAATATGGCATAGACTAGAATATACCCACCTAAGCTATATAATATATTTCCCATTTAAAAAAAGAAAGACGTATATTATTGTATTCACAGGTTCTAGAAAGGGATAATATGGATCATACAGTGTCATTCATTTGCAGGAATCTCTTGGATGCATTCTACAACACTTGGTCTGATTCCAATCCCTAGGCTTGTAAATTAGTAGACCTAATTTCTCGATGTCTATTGATTTCGGTCAAAAACAAGGAAAAGTGGACATTTTGCGATTGACCACTGTTGTCTTTTGTCTGTGGTCAGCAGACCATAATTTATTATGAACAAGTTTATATCCTCTAGAGCAATATGTTTACTTTTACTCAAAACTAGCATTTAAAGGAACAGGATTAGTTACATATTAAAAACATGGCTACCTGATTAAAGTTGAATGTGTTCATGTTAGCCACTATTACCTGCTTGTAGAGTGGAACCATTACAGGCTTACTGTCATATCACCTTGAATCACCGACTTCCGTACCGTCATCGAAATTAAGCAACGTTGGGCCTGGTCAGTACCTAGATTGGTGACCGCTTGGAAATACTTAGTGCTGTAAGCTTGGATATAATAGTGCATAATATAATAAGGATTAATTCTTAATCGGAGAGCCGGGTTCTAACTTTAGGGTGGGGTTCTCTATATTGACATACGCGCAAATATCTTTGAGAAATTTATCAGTCTACCGCTTTCCCCTAAAAATATGGGTTAATTAGTATGACTTGTATCACTAAAGAATTATTATCAGCACAAATATTCTTACAATCCAAAAAATATTTCCTGGCTTTAAATAATTCTGAAGGGGTTGATAAACCGTAGAAAATGGATCAATCATCCAATCACTGGAGCCACTACATAATATTCTCGTTACAAAAAACAAAATAAACAGTTGTTGAAACTGATATTAAAAGTAGGTATAAACTTACCTATCGGGTTATAGTTTACACGAAGTCATTTTATTTGATAGGGATGAAATAAATTAACCTCATTGAAACGGGGGTTATTCTGGACGAAGCTAGACTATACCCAGGTATGTTGTAGGAGTGGGTTAATCGGGGTGCATTTTTCATCCCGTCTATTTGAAGCACAATGGTACAGAAATAAACAGGACGAACATCTGAAAATTCCAATTTGTGCAGTTGAGAAAAAATATTGGACAGCGTCAATAATAATAAGAGAAACCGAAGAAGTTGTGCAGATAATGTTAACCAAAAATTGGTTAACACGGTTCCAATCACAAGAGTTGTTATTGGAGGAATTAAGGATTTGAGGAAATGATATTAATAGAGGATCTACAAATATACTGAGAAAGGTGCTGGTGATTTAATACGAAAAAATGTATTTCATAAATCGACCAGTAACAATTTGGGATGAAAATTCAGGTAATAACTATTATTCAAGGGACTTTTACATCTAGCGAGGATATATGAATCCATGAATTAATAAGAGGGTTTTTTTTAATTATTTTCAAGTTTGAAGGGAAGTGGCAGCCAAGGCCACTTGGGAGATTCATTTTGATACAGCTGATTGCCGTCAATCGGAGAACGTCTAATGATCGTCCTGTAGGTATTTCTAACTCGGCATTACAAAGTTTTGCACTGCTTTTATCAAATCCCCTCGCCATCCCGTGTACATTTGGCTGTTGTGCATATGCTTTGTATACATTTATAAGACTAAGTCTGATATTGGACTTCCTATATTTGTATCTCAGGTTCACTTTGCTGATTTGCTGCCAGATAGCAGCAAACCAGTAAATGATTCAGCAGCAACAACAATAACAATTGCAACAACAACAACAATAATAATTGCATTATATACTTTATCAATAATACTCATTATTAAAAATAATTTTATTTGAAACAAGTCCGCAGGTACGGGGCCCGAAATGAAGATCAAATTCGCTATTCCTTAAGAAATATCCCATTCAGAGTCACACTGAATATTTACTAAGTTCGTTTGATACAAGGCAACAAATATGGAGTATCCAATGATGATGAAAGTCACTATTTTTCAGTAACGGTCAAGAAAGTAACCTCACTTTGAGGCACCAATTCTAATTTCCGTTTTGAAATAGGTTTTATAATTAATTAAGAATAAATTCGTTTCTGTTTCGATTAAAACTGTATTTTCTTTTTACAATAAAAGCAATTGTATTCAAAACTTAATTGGGATTTATGTTCTAGTCTCGTCAGAAATTTGGTTCTTATTGCAGCTCTTATTGAATGTCATAAATCGAGACTTTCCCAGGGTCAGTGTCTAGTAAGGTAACTCGTGACATTGAGTAAATGTGTTTTGCTAAAGCTTACTGAGGCTTGTGTAGGTCACCCTTTTCTTAAATACAGATCACCCGGGAGAATGCTGAAGGCGTTACGCATGTTGCAGGTAAGTAGGTTCTAAATTTCACGAAACCTGATTTAGGTCTGTCGTTGCGTATACAGGGTGGGTGCTGACAATGTAACAATGAATTGTGTCAATGTCAACAGATGTCAAAGGTTCAAGTGACACGGAGAAAAAAAAACGCTGAGAGGAAGAGGGAGACAGGGAGGGAAGGAGAGAGAGACAGGGAGGGAAGGAGAGAGAGACAGGGAGGGAAGGAGAAAGAGAGAGACAGACAGACAGGGAGGGAAGGAGAGAGAGAGACAGGGAGGGAAGGAGAGAGAGAGACAGGGAGGGAAGGGGAGAGAGAGAGAGAGAGAGAGAGAGAGAGAGAGAGAGAAGATTAGGCGCAATTATATTATCTTTTTTTAGCCAGAGGCGCCAAGCACACATTACAAGACATTTAAGCATTGGGTAGAGACAATCGATGCTTTTATACTGCCAACTTTATTCTAAAATATTATCCAGAATAAATAAATAACATAAATACAAATCTAAAATAATGTAATAAAAACGATTTTGTCAACTTAAGATAGTCAACATCCTTATCAAGCTTAGCACACAATGAAGACATCTACAAAAAAGTCATCAGCCCCAAATGAGCAGCATTAAAAAAATCCTTCAATGATATTTTCTGTCATAGTCGAACTTGAAAGTTTGAATTAATTTGGTATAACAACCTCAAGACATAATACACAGAAATTAACATATCCATTGATACTCTGTAATCCTTCTGGTCCAGCTAGACACTATGATCATGGTGTTTTCTGGGGATAACTCTTGTTTTACCGGCCAGACTTATTAAAAAAAGTCGCCAGGGTGTCTTCTTTCAAGTAAGTTTAACTGCGTATCTATGAACATATTAAGATTTTCCTACCTTCAGAATTATGCTAAGATTAATTGATTCCATTAATAAAAAAAAAAAGAAGATCTCCAAGAACTTAAATCGTTATCTACTGTCTTCATGATTCATCTTCTTTTATTGTTCTTGCTCCTTAATAATGTTTCTCTTTTTTTTTTATATTCTTTCGCTCTCAGTAACCTCTTGTGCTTTAGAGGCCTAACTGCCGCACTTGGGGTGAAATGATTAAAAGAAGTTCACACTCGCTAACTTACCTACGCATCCATACTCAATATCGAGTACTAATTAAAAGCGTCGTTTTCATTTCAGCATACACACACACACACACACACACACACACACATATATAATTTCTTTATGCATATATATATATATATATATATATATATATATATATATATATATATATATATATATATATATATATATATATATATATATATATATATATATATATATAGACTGAAGATTGCTTTTTAAGCATGTTGCCGCTGGGTGTTGACAGTGTCCACTTTTACATTTACGTCCGCTCTATGCTAACAATGAGGACTTAAATCCATAAATATAGTTTACCTTAAACTATATTTTTATCATTATCTATCTATCTATCTATCTATCTATCTATCTATCTATCCGACGACACGGTTTGCCTGTTTCATTTTTTATATTTTTCCTATTTTCGGATAAGGTGTTGAGAAATGTGCACGAAGTTATGGATAAACTGTCCGTAGTTCATATTTTTCTATTTTTGTTCAAGTACTTTCGACTATGTTGTGGCGTAAGATGTGACTAAGTAAATGGTTAAGTAATAACAAAAACCAGGTTTGAAGATACATCTTATATTGAACAGTAAGTATTAGTGAGAGTGTATCGATGAACTAGCGCTCAATCTATTCACTGTTCCTCGAACCTTTTCTCCTACTAAACTTATAGTAGGTGGAAGAGTCTAATATAGACTTTTAGAGGGGGAACACCACAACAGACTATCGCATTCATTATCAAGAACTAATGTTTTTGTGCCTGTGGCAGTTAGAATTACTAACTACCACACAGACAAAAATAATTGTTAATGCAAAATTCACTCGTCGTAAAGTATTTTTTTTTACTATCCTCCAAATATGTTTTGGCTTTAAATAACTCTCAAAAGGTTGATAAGCTGTAAAAAAAAAAAAAAAACAATCTTGGAGTATCGGAATAAAACATAAGTTGATATTGCTACAACGTCTGCGCGCGATATAGAAAAGAATCAAAGAGAATTTCTATCCTTTTTCATGACAAAAAACAAAACAAAAAAATTCTGTATCACAAATACACTGGGAGGGAGTGCGGATGACACATTTTCTGTGAAATAAGGACAAGATGACTTTGTCGGCTGCAAGGACATCGAAATTGTCAAAAGCATCTTCTCAGCTTACAACACAACAGAAACTCTTACCACAAACAGCAGTGAACTAGACTAAAATGTGTTTAATATTAACGTGAATAGTTGTTTTTTGTTTTTTTTTAGTCTCAAATGCAGTTTGTGATTTCAAGTCTTACACTAATGATAATTTCAGTCTTACTGTCGTGAATATAGCAACGCAGACGACAGAAAAAAGGTTATTATTTATTTCTTGTGTTTAAAACCTATCTGTAACTTAATAAACACGAATAATTATGGTGTATATATAAATGCGTGTGTCTATATGTGTGTGCACATTACACGTGGTGATGTCGAAAAGTCCGCCGACTTGATAAAAAAAAAAAAAAAAAATTACTAGATATTTTTCTTATATTTGGACTTAAAGTCAAGTTGGGAATGTCAGCATTGATTATTTCCACACTATCTGGCGTTTTACTGGACATTGTTCACTTTGAAAGCTTACTTTCAACAACATTCGACCAACTTTGAAATCCGTTTTCCAACTAAATAAACACAACCAAAAATCTGGTAAATCTGGTGTCGGTGACAAATATACCGCTCCTCCCGGCACGTTGTTTAAATGTTTTCAGGCATCGTAAAGATCGAAGAACCGTTCCAAATCAACGTTCCAAAATCTTTAACGTGAGTAGATAGTACGAAGCTAATTGGCCGACTGGTTAAGCATGCTAGATATCAATGAAGGTTAAGGGCGACCAGTTTTCTAATGAACCATACAATCATGGCGCTTACTTCCCGATATCCCCTCGTATGAAGAATAAATGCAATTTCACAAAGCAGGCTTGTGAGCAATGCTTATTAATTTTTAAAAAGTCAACAGAATATGAATATATTTTAAGGGGATAAACTAGGCACTTCGACGTGACGCAAAAGCTTGTAAAATCTTGTAACTATAGATCAGT